AATTATATATATGCTTAATATTATACATACGTTGTTCTTTTGTATATTAATTTTATTAGTAATATATTTAATTTTTTTGTCCATAATTAATGAATAAATAAGTTTGTAGTTCTAATTATATTCGTAATTCGTTCATTGTTTTCTAAATATAAAAGCATATATAACATAATTTCTTTGTTATATATGTATACATTATAGGAAGATTAAATATATGCGGCTTTTTAAGGATAGTTTTATACTTCTTTTAACAAAGCATCATATTGCGATTTCATAATTAGAATTCATAAATTCTTATAAAATAATAATTAAATATTTTTATTCAAAAATAAATTATGCTTTAAATTAATAGGCTATGTTCTACGATGATTATAACGAGATGAACTTGTATAGTTATTTTTTTAAAACTGACATAATAATTCATTATTTCTAATGTATTTATACACTTTCTTCAGTATATATAATATATTTAAAGTGTAACCGTTGTTTAATGTAAAAAGAATATATATGTAATCATGAAACCAAACATTTCCCATTATATCTCGTGAATATTTTATATATAATTACATGTCTTATGAAGAATTAAAAATATCTCTAGTCTTATATTTTTATAAATTCAATATTTATATATTTTAAATTAATAATATTTTTATATTACACAGAATTTATACATCATAAAAGAATTCAATTTTCTAATTTATTGTTAGCCTGCGTATTTTGAATTATTAAAAAAAATTCCTAAAAAATAATTATATAAATAAGATCAAAATATGTTAAATATTACTATAATTCATAACACTAATAGAAATACAATTGCACATATATTTAATATATATAAAAATTATGTATTTCATATTTTCAAATTAAGAGGAGATATTTGTAATATATGCTATTTAATAAAGTATATGCTAAAAAAAAAAAAAAAATTTTTTTAAATATTTCATTATGTTTTCATGTTCATGTTAAGAATGTGTTAATTCAGACAGATATAATAAATTTTATATATTCTCAAAAATTTTTAATATTAGAAAATATATGTACCATTTCATTACAAAATATATATAATATATTTTATAGAAACACATTGTTAACACAATGTATTTTATTACAAAAATTAACATATATTACCATGATACCTATGGTTATTAAATGGATAGGTATTTATTTACATAATGCTTTATTTTTTTTAGCAATTTCTCTATATTAATAATATATAAATCATCATTATTTGTAATTCAAAAACACTAAAATATATAAAAGAATAAAATAAAATTAAGTATTACTAAAGAATACAAGAATGAAATATATATATAATAATGAAATGAATTATGAAATTCTTTATAAAAAATAATAACGCTCAGCATATAACCAAAAATATGCTACATATATAAATAAATACGAGTAGCAAAAATAATATCTATTAATGTAAACAAGCATAATACATATATATAACAAATAACAAAGCACAAATTCATTATACACTAAACGCTCAATCCTGAAACCTGAACACTAAACCTTAAATCTATAACAGAAGATTCAAAAATTTCAAAGTATATATGTATGTTATTTTATAATATTTCATTATTTATTTTTGTTTTATATGGTGTTATTAAGAGAATAATATCATATATAACATGCTAAATGCATTTAGCATGTTGTATCATTAAATTGTTTTTTTCAAATTTATATATTTTATAATGAAATTATAGTCAATTATATAATATATTATGTCTGCTGTTTCTTCCTATAATGTCGAATTCTTCGGATCCATGAAATATATGTCTTTCTAAATCTATATAATACAATCTATTTTCGTTTCCTTTTATTAATTGTAGAATCCATGATCCAAATGTGGTGAACTAATTCATAAAAATATATATTTTTAATTATGATACATTTTTTTATAAATTATTTAGATAAATTATATTCTAGTATAAATAAATATAAAATATATTGTAATTAACTTTAAGTATAATAAAAAATAAAAGAGATATTAATAATGTTACAAAAAATGTTATTGTAATTGGAACAAGAATATTAGTGTGGCATGGGGCACAAGGGACTACCTGACTCCTAATTTTGCTAGCTTCATTATATATTTTTTCATAATATTTGTTCACTATGTTTACTAATTCATTAAAAATTTCATCTTTATTAGGTGATCTTCCGTTCTCATATATTGGGTTATATATATCATATATTTCTATGATTTTTTGAAAATCCTCTTCTTTAATAAGCTCGACCGAAGGTTTGCATAAATTTAATTTTTCAACAAATGGGGCATTTTCAAATATAGATATCAATTGATCATAAAGACTTTGGATATCATGAAACTTCACCATGGCATTATTATTTTTATGAAGAAGTTCATATAACCAATAATAAAAGTATTCACAGCCGGAAATTTTTAAATATGGATTATCCTTAACATTATTTACATTTGCTAAATATTGCATACTTTGATAGCATATGTTTTTTGGTCCATGACTTCCAAGTGTTAAACCTTCTACACTAACATTATTTTCATTATCAATGCATATCTTTTTCCATCCTGAGGGCTTTTCACCATGTAAAATTGTAATATGTTCAACTGATTCATTAAGTTTTTTTTCACATTTTGGAAAATTTTTGACGATGTCATACTAAATATAAAAAAATAATAATAGAAATATATAATAATATTTTATTGAACCAATTTTATTGAATTCATGGATAATATAATATGCATATAATATAATTCTGAAGCGTCCAATTAATAATTTAAAAATACAATAGACGTCATTATCTTCTATATTATTGTACAATTAAGAAAATGAATCATATAACATGAATAAATTTACTAATAAAATTATATGTATATTTAAAAATAAGAGAATAAATAAGGAAAACTTAAATTATAATATTGTAGAATTATATCATTAAGTTAAAAGAGAATTAAATTAATTTATGCTCATTTATTACGCATTTAAAAAATAATGGACAACATATATGAAATCTAGTATATTTTTTATAATATCATATTGAAAAACATATATATAATTCTTACAAAAATTAAAACAATATAGTAGCTAAAAATACAATATTATATGAAGCATACTAAAGAAATTATGCACCAAATAAAGAATTGTTTGTTTTAGAAAAATAGTATATATTATGATATTATCTTTTATTAATTTAAATACATATAATTACCTTTTTTTTACATTAATTTTTTATTGTACTATATAATAGTACTCATGATTTAATGTAAGATATATAAAATAACAGAAAAAGTGTAATATTGGTTTAAATTTTAAATATTTCGTCGTTTATAATTCAGGCATTTATATTATAATTAAATTTATCTCTCTATATATTTTTCAAGATTTTCCGTTTTAAAATATATATACATATATATTTTTATATATTAGAATATTTATGAAATTAAATATGCTATACGACATATTAATAATCAAAAAAAGAAATTAATAATTTTTCTTAATTATTTACGTTTAATTATCTAAAGTATGTATTTTATATGATATGGGTATAGTTGAGTGCAATATATTATATTAATTATAACATAATATATTAGTATTTTTTTTATAATATTCATACATATATATCATTTATTCATTTATATTAATTATTTTTTCACTTCAATAAAAAAATTGATACAATCAATTTTTCATACAATATACTTTATAGATTATTTGTATATCTTAATATTTTTTATATTTTTTATTTTACATAAAAAATATTTTTCATTAAGGTAAATACAACATTTGAACATCACATATATTATTATGTATTGTGACCAATAATAATATAAATGATTGTTTTATATATAATATTATACATTAATTTTTGAAAAATATATAGAAACGACATAATTTTTAAAAAATATTTTTATAATACTTTTGGTAAATTAATAATAATATTCATCTATTATTCTTAACAAATAATACAAAAATTTATAATTATAAAATACATAGTAATGATACATTAATTACATATAGAAATTATTAGCTATATCTCAAAAATAAATTTGCATATATTTTACAATGTGATTGTGTTTTGTGGTACAAAAAGTAATTTCAGTATAATTATTCTTTTCTTATTAATTTGTGATCATATAAATGATGCATATATAACAATATAATTTATAAAACAAAAATAAAATGGTTCTTTGGTGTTATATATATTTTTATTTATATTATTATTAAATTTAAAGAAAATTTTACTGAGTAAATTTTATTTCTTCCATGATACACTACTGAATTAACAGGATATATTATATTAAAATTGTTAACAAAATATTTTTAATTATTTGTTATAGTTTAAATTAGCATCACTAACTATAATACTATGTATTCTTAAAATATATATTTTCCTATATTCGTTATATATTTTTATATTTATTTTCAAGAATGAGAATATATATATTATGCGTTATTAACAAAGAAACCTTTAAATTCATCCTTAAATTTTCTATGATATTCAAAAATAACTTTCACTTAAATCGAAATATTTATTGTCAAAGAATAATTATAAAGTCTATTTTTTTATTAACCAAAAATATACATAAGTAGAATATAAATGTAATTTTTATTTTTAATAAATAATAATTTTATGCATTATATACATAGTTGTTATGATTATTTATCTTTTTCAATAGGACCATATAGTAACTATAATTATAAGGTGTTCTTATATATTATTACATATAGATTATCGCATGTACATGGTATATAAAAGGGATTGTATATGCATATATAAAAAAGCAATTGACTTTTATATTGATACTATAAAATATTAGAAAAAAAAAATTTCGCACTAGCCAAGAACTTATGAAAAATCATAACATAATTCATAAAATATATTTGTTCCTTATAAATCTAATTACCTATAAAAAAGTAAAAAGCAATTTATTAAAAGGTTCATATTGTTCTTATGAATATGATTATTCTATATTATAAAAAGATTAGATAAATAAATAACATAAAATTATTAAAAATTTTAAAATAAGTACACCAAAAACACTTCTATATTTTATTTTTCATATTGTGACTGTTTTTATTGGATCAATATAACCTATGATATTTTTGGAGTATTAATAAAAATTAGTACGTTTCTATATATTACAAGTGTATCTTTGATAACATATAAAACATATGATAGAAATGTATTATTAAGCCCTTTTAGATCATTATTTTCTATATATATCGTATATATACTTGTTTTGTATCGGATAATAAAAAAATTTTTTTATGAATTTTTTGAACTATTATATTATAAAAAATGGGAAAGCTAAAATTAATGAACAATTATGTCTACAATTAATAAGACATTATTTTGAAAAAATGATATCTCACTATATATATATATATATATATTATATCAACCAAAATAATGGCTTATATATTTTTTATTTATCAAAATAGATATAATAATTTAAAATCTTTTTTTTTTATATTCATAAACATATTTTTATAGATCTCCAAAATTACTTGATATAATGGCTCCTGTTTTATAAAATTATTTCCAAAAAAGTAATTTAACCTATATTATAACATATGTATTTCTATGAATATGTCGATTTGAATATTTTATAATTTTGAAGACAAATATATTCAGAATAATAATATATTCCTTATAAATAAGTATATAGATGTTTAATATAATTTATATAAAAATAATTTATATATATTTATTTAAATAAAAGTATATATATGTCGTTACATACGTCTGTATTGTGAGTTATTATAAATTTCATTTATGTTATGTTATTCTTTTTCTTTATATAATTAGTAATATTTTTCTATTTATTATATATCAAAAGGAATTCTTTTGTGCTTCCAATAAAATATATTATGCTTATTAATTAAAAATATATATAAATATTTCTTTTTACATAAACAAATAAATTAAACACATATGTATTCATTTTTATTGAAATATAAAATGAAATAATTATTTTAAGGAAATAGAATGAATTTACAAATGAATATGTGAACTAAGAAAAAAATTCAAAAAATTAACTAATTTACTGCTTGATATAATTAAAGGGAGCACACAAATATTGTGTCAATTTTTTTTTTTATCATTGTACGAAAGAATTAATCTATATATTTATAAAATTTGCATAATATCCATATGATATTAATGTAAAAATTCTGATTTATTATATTAGATTACTTTTATATTTACTCTTATATTCTATAATTCTAATTAGATATAAAAAACAAGTACATTTATTGAAATACATAAATAAAATATTTGAATATGATTCTTATAATTCATATAAAATACACATATTCTATTATTATACATCTACTTATAAAACATTAAAATGAATTTAAATATTATTGCATTTTTTTATTGAGTATAAAATGTAAAAAACATAATACATACAAATTTAATATTTTAAAAATAATTATGAGTGTTGAAAATTTTACCAATGAAAAGGTGAATAACAAATATTTGGATAAAATAAACCATATTGTGAAGTTAAAAAATATACTATCAATATTATAATTATTATATTATTCAAATTTTTTAAATCTATTAAAACATATGATTATACTATAAGAAAATGTGTACTTCTTATTATATGATTGAAATAGACATGACACAGTAAATATATGTGGCAATATGAATTAGGTATATTTATGGAGTATGATATAATACAATATTCTATAATAATTTTAAAAAGAAAAACTAAAATTATTATATACTATTAATATTTATTGGACTGTGTATATTTATTTTAGGTTTCAGTGTATACGGTTTCAGGATTTAGGGTTCAGCCTTCTTGTTTTATGTTTTAGGTTTAGTATATATATTTAAGATTTCTTTTTTAAGATATTGTTATACATTTATCTAGTGAGTGTTTATCCTTTGTGTTTAAATTTTTATATTAACTTTTTTGCTTATTATTTTTTTTTTAATGATTTTTGTTTAATATATAAATCTTATATTTATTTATTTTTTGTAATTATTTTATGTATTATATTTTTTATGATTTTTTCTCTATATTAATCTATCTACGATATTTTTTTTATTCTTTCTTTATATATATCTAATCTATACATATAAAATATTGCATTATTTGTTGTCGAATAAATTATTCTTTTTTTTTTATTTGTCACTTTTAGTTAATATATAATATATCTTTATTAATTGTAATTTTAGTTGTTAATAAATATATATTATTAATATATATAAATTGTTTATTGTGTTTTATTAAAAGCAAGCATTTATCTTAATTTCATTTAAATATATTTAATGACTATGAAAATATCGCTTTATTCGAATGTATGAATTGTATTTTCATATACATTTTAAATATTTTAATATCGATAGATTAATAGAAAACATGTAAAAATAATCAGATTTATTATAATTCAAATTATTTATATTTTATGTTGTTTTATTTTAAATAAATTAATATTTAAATTAGTTTCCTTTTTTTTTCATTTATGTGCCAATTAAGTTAAAATTTTATTTGCTTAATATCTTTATTAACATATTTATGGTTTTTATATTAAATTGTGCTGATTATATATACTTAATTCTTTAATTATAAATAAATTTATCTTAAATTGTCATTTAAATTTATTTTTGCATTAAATCGCATAATATTATCGGGTCTTAATAACATATTAGAGAAAAAATAATCATTTTATTGGAATTATATTAGTTTATATAT